CCCTCCCCCCTCAATACACGCCTTCCGAGTCTCACCCCGTGCCGCCCCGCTTTAGGGAGCCGCGCAACGAACCCCGCTGCTTCCAACAAGCTGCCTCTCATACACGCACGCAGGCAGTTGTATCAAAGATAGTATCTTTGGTTGTATTGGGTTAATTTGTTATCCACGTTGTTGGGACCGGTCGCTCTGAGCTGGAGGTGACTGAATCGTTTCTGGGGTGTGCTACCGGTTTTCTGTGCCCTGGGCGAATTATTCAGGTAATCAACAATATTGATAATAATGATATTAAGCTTAGTAACAATAATAATTATGATAATAATGAAAATAATAGATTGCATTTATTTAGCGCTTTATCCCAAAGATTCACGAGTAGAGGTTCTGGGCTCTTTACATCGAATACGTGATTATTGAGCATAGATCTAATACTTCATTCGCTCAAGATAAAATATTTCACAATTTTTTTACAAGAAAACCAGGTCGATTACATAAAGAACTTTCTCAACCTTACATTGATTATCGACATGTAAGGACAGCAGCGAAAACAAAACATTATTGTCAGCACTTACTAATACACCGCAACTAAGAATTAAACAAGAGTCTTGATAATAGGTCTAAATCACTTTTTTCCTCAATTTATATTTCACATAGTATTACTGGCGCCCTTATTTTCCACTTTTGCCATTTCAAAAATAATTTTTCACCTGTAATTTCCTTTCGGGTTAAACACACTTATCTTGGTTCAACCTTCCAACGATAGTGTTTGGATCAATTTTTTTTTAAAGAGGTGATTCGATTTTCAACTCTAAACGGAAATTAGCTGAAGCCAATTAATTTCTAATGGGAGCTGAAAACCGATAAGGTATACTTGTGTCTTAAATCGAATGCAAACCACTTTACCCCGAGTATATAGCCTATGTTCTGTTCAAGGTTACTTTGAATAATAGCCAAAAGAACAAAGATAATGATTGTAATACATGAGCAAATTGTGAATGTGAATGATATGTACATGAACATCGGAACCTGCCAGTGTGTATACTGACTGAATAAAAAATAATTGAAAGAAACATAAAGTTGTGGGGCAGGAACAAACGATTATACAAAATACAGTGGAAACCATATATATCAGGCCTTATAATAACAGGGACCCGGTAATAACAAGAATTTTAAAAATTCCCGTATTTTCTTACTCTTTGTCTCTATTAAAAGTTATCGGCAATAACAGGGCCTCATCAGAGCCCCATCGTCTATAGGAGGGGCAAAGGTTGGTTAACAATAAAAGGTAAGAGAGAGAGAGAGAGAGAGAGAGAGAGAGAGAGAGAGAGAGAGAGAGAGAGAGAGAGAGAGAGAGAGAGAGAGAGAGAGAGAGAGAGAGAGAGAGAGAGAGAGAGAGAGAGAGAGAGAGAGAGAGAGAGAGAGAGAGAGAGAGAGAGAGAGAGAGAGAGAGAGAGAGAGAGAGAGATGGAGCAACATGAGCAAACCCACGCAAGCCACGTCACTGCAAGCACGCTTTCTGACCACGATCTAGCCCAGTGGTTTTCAAAGTGGGCCACAGTTTGGGGGGCGCTGACGCGAAATTGGGCGATTGGGGGCGGTAGGGGGCATTAAGGGGGCGGTGTGAAATTTTCATGAAATGCAACATGAAAAAAAGTGAGGCAGCCTGGTGGAATCAGGCTCTCGTCAATTTTTGGGCATGTAGAGTTATTGGTATCATCTTAAAGCTTTTTCACTTGTCTTTATTTGGATGAAAAGAATATAAATTTATCTTGAATACAAGTCGAGATATTTGCGAAAGAAGGAGATGGGGGTCACTTGTTTTCGGAAGTAAAATTAGTGAGAAAATGGCCGCCAAAGATTAGTTATTTCCTTAGCTTAAGAGTCCGTGTTAACTGAAAATTTACATTTTTTGTGCCTTTACTCAACGTTTAAAAAAAAAATCCACACAGAAATGAGTTCTTTAATGGGCATGAAAGGTGTTGAGCCCCCCCCCCCCCAAAAAAAAAAAAAAAAAAAATTTGATAAAAATTCACAAACCTGCGGGAAAAAGCAAGTTTCTTCACTTTAATCATTTTGACGAGAGCCTGATTCCACTACGCTGCCTCACAAATGGTAGTAAAAGGAAAGAAGCCACATAAAAACCAAAAACCAAAACCAAAATTGATAGCTTCGGCATAGTTTACAATACTACTTATTACCGTACTAAGAACTTTCTTTCCCAGCACACAAAGTCCATATAAAGAAGATTCATCCCGACAAATCTGACAAAGATCTGGCATACTTCAAAACTTTTAAGATCAATTTTCAGAAAAGAAAATCAGGTAAATCGATGTTTGAGGCCGACGTCGATCAAGCTGATGAAGACTTACGAGCGACTTATAATTTATCTCTGCTAATTGCAAAGGCAGGAAAGCCACCTCATATTGCCTGCGATAATAAAGGTGGTCAGCACAATCCTGCATTGTGCCCCGAGCCTGTGTTGAAAGTTCTTGCCACTAAGTGACAATACCGTTCAAAGACGTAAGGATGGGATGTCAGCAAATTTGAGGAATCATCGTGCAAAAGGCTTAAAGGACGCGAGTTCAGCCTTCAACTGGATATCGGTTCATAGAGAGTGAGGAAACAATGCAAGAATTGTTATTTCCGAAAATGTTGTAAACAGATAACAAAGACAAATCCATTTTCAATGAGGTCCAAGAATTTTTCAAGGAGAAACAGATACTAGATCCTTTTGACCAATATAGTTGTTTGTGCAACAAATAGGGCACTGCCGATGACAGGTCGGTACCGTGGATTTATGAGCTTCTTGAAGAAATCGGTCCACTGTGTCATTCACAGATAGAATTTGGGGGCATGAAGCCTGAATTAAAGTCTGCATGACACACTGGCCATTGTCATCAAGTGTGTGAACATGATCAAAGTCCACTCTTTGAACTCGAGATTATTCCAACAGCTGTGCACTGAAATTGACGAGGACTTTCAATGCTTACATTTGCTCACTGAAGTCCGGTGGCTCTCAAAAGGAAACTGTTCAACACGATATTGTTCTGCCTGTTTGACTCTGTGCTGGAGTTTTTTTCAAGAAACAAACAGTGATCTCTGCAATAAACTGAAAGAACACAAGAACAACTTTGTGTTCCTCACAGATCTGTTCACAAAGTTCAACCAGTTCTACTTGCAACTGTAGGAGGATGACACCAACCTGATCAAGGCAAAATCCATGCTTTCGTCATTCTTGTCGAAATTGGAAATGTTCCACCGAAACATTGGCAAAAGGGAACTTACTCAGTTTCCGTTGCATTCTGATATGAAGACAAAGTTTACTGATAAGTCGTACCAGTCATTTTGAAAACTATTGTGCAAGACAAATATCCCTCCCTGTGGGAAAAGATCACGTTGCTGTTCATCGCTTTTCCCGCCTCTAATCCAGTAAAAAGGGGATTCTGTACAGTGACAAGGTTGCTAAAAAACAAAGGATCACAGAGCGTGGCGATTTGCGTCTGCTACTGACCAATCTGAAACCTGATGTTGATAAGTTGGTTTCGTCTCACCAGGTTATCCGTCTTTCCCATTAGGGCAGTGTCAGTTACTTATTTTTATATTCATTAGGCTTACTCCGTAGTTTACCCTTATTTGATACCCCAATGTGTCTTTTTTTTTTTTTGCTTTACTTTCTATTTTTCTAAAGCAAAATACTCTCTTGTTTAATAGAGTTTTTTTATGTGCATGTGCTGCCTCTGCTAATAAAACTGATGATGATAATGATGATGATGATTACGATGATGGTGATAATTACAGACTAAGATCCTTGAATACTTTTTCTTTCGAGTGGTTTCTCACATTTGAACAATCTAATAATATTTTTATTTTCTACAATGGAGATATCAGAATATATACAATTCTCAGGCCACTTTATTGCAGCACCTTGATGGGAGAAAACGTTTCATAAAGATAATGTCAATCTGTTTTCAAACCAATGATCATTGTTTGTTTGTTTGTTTGGTTGGTTTTTTTTTTAGGGGGGGGGGGTGGTGTTTTTCTTCTGTAAATGTGATAATACATGTTTTATTTTTACTGATGGTTAATAACACTTTTCGTTTAATACCGATGACAACTATAATATGCATAAAATGACCGGATTTTGTTCTCAACACCCTTGCATAACATTGAAGGAAAAATGTGTTAATTTATCTCTCGTACACGCTTAATTTAAGATTATGTAATGATGGTGATTTGTGACCCAACTAAATTCTGAACCAAATCATTAGAATTTAGGCACGTTACTTTGTATCCAGCTGTTTGAGCTCTCTCTTTATTTGTGATACATGTATTATATTTTATGCATTTCGTTAGGTCATATTGATGGTTGGGACGGAGTAGGGGGCGCTGGGACTTGGCTGGGTGAAAAAGGGGGCGGTGGGCGAAAAAAGTTTGAAAACCACTGATCTAGCCCTAGCCTAAGCCTAGCTACACGCACCATGAATAAATACAGCTGGAAATTAGTCCACAAATGCTTACTTCACTTGCATTTCTGATTTAACAGGGATCTAATATAGCAGGACTTTTTCTCTGGTCCCACCATCCCTGTTATATCAGGTTTCCACTGTAGTAAACACGTACGGTACCGACATTTAAGAGAAATCAGTCGCTTCTGTACTTTGATTATAATCTAAATATAGACAATGGCCTTCAGACTTGTTAGTAAATTAAACTATTAATTTGTCCAGATAATGGGTACTTCAAAGAAATTAAGTACCTTGAGGTAAAATAATTGTATAAAAAATGGCTTTTCATTTAACTATTTTTGCCTACTACACAACAAAATGCCAATTTCAGAGGCCCATAGCCTAATCTGTTAAATCAAAGCGTCGTGATGTTGTTGATACTAATATTGGGTACTAGCTTAATTTGCAAGCATAGCACAAAGTATGTTTGAAATACGCCGTCATGAAAATGACCGAATGACTCATTTTGCGCATTGGCAAAAAGTACGCTAAAAAACACATCTTTATAAAAGTGAACTTTCATAAAATGATAATTTTTACAGACATGAGACTGACATTTCTGATTTATTTGTAACTTAACATGGTAAATTTTTTTTAAAGGCGTTAGATTTAACACACAAATACTTTTAAGCATAAAAAAGAGAAAAAGTTCACCATTACTTTTATACTCTTAGGTGTAGAATAAGCACCCCCCCC